TACCTATTCTATTATTATGTCCCTTCAGGAAGAAGTGTGTTAAAACATGCTAGAGTGCAAATGCAGCACACATCTGCAACAGAGGCGGCATTCAGCAGGTTCTGACCAGTTCTGGAGAACCGGTAGTGGAAATTTTGAGTAGTTCGGAAAACCAGCAAATACCGCCTCTGACTGGAGATTTTACAGTATCCTTCCCCTGCCATGCCCACCAAGCCACGCCCACAGAACCAGTAGTAAAAAAAAAATGAATCCCACCACTGATCTGGAACTCGAGTAGTGTGTTTTTCAAACAACTGAGGGGAGGTTTCCATTTTACTTTTTCAGATCCATACTCCTCTTCTACATTTTTTAAAAAATAAATCCAAACAATATACATAACTAGCCTTTGGATATTAATAATGGAGATCTTTAGTTTATTATTTGTAGTTGACATACTCAAAATGAATGTAATTCCCACAATAGTTTGTATTTTGGGTGGAATTTGCATGGAATTCTTAGGGAGATCGGCGGTTAAGAAATAAGAAATATAAATAAATATCTATTAAATTTGCATTATATTGTTCTGTTCATTTCCATGGGGTCTTCAGTTCTGAAGAAATCTTTGAAAAAGATGCTGAGATTAGTTTCCTGAATCTCGAATTGTACCATTATGCATACTGAGCAATAACAAACCTTTGGAAAGTTTTACAGTGTAAATTGTCTTTACAATATTTATTTTATTTGTTTGATTTGCCAATTGTTTACAAGATAATAAGTATAAATGTATACATAGTTGTGAATACATGAAATGGTTACATATAAGAAAAATAAAAGAATAAGAGAAACAATAGGACAGGGACGGTAGGCACGTTGGTGCGCTTATGCACGCCCCCTACAGACCTCTTAGGAAAGGGGTGAGGTCAATAGTAGACAGTCTAAGGTTAAAGTTTTTGGGGTTTGGGGAAGAAACTACAGAGTCGGGTAGAGTATTCCAGACATTGACCACTCTATTGCTGAAGTCGTATTTCCTGCAATCAAGTTTGGTGCGGTTTACTTTGAGTTTGTATCTGTTGTGTGCTCTTGTGTTGTTATGGTTGAAGCTGAAGTATTCATTGACAGGTAGGACATTGCAATGTATGATTTTGTATACCATGCTTAAGTCAGACCGAAGACGGCGTAATTCAAGGTTTTCTAGTTCTAGAATTTCAAGTCTGGTGGCATAAGGTATTCTACAGCGAGTAGAGGAGTGGAGAACTCTTCTTGTGAAATATTTCTGGACTTTCTCAATTGTGCTAATATCAGATACGTAGTGTGGGTTCCAGACTGATGAACTGTATTCGAGTATTGGTCTAGCAAATGTTTTGTATGCTCTGGTTAGTAGTGTGATATTACCAGAGAAAAAGCTACGTAGGATTAGGTTAACAACTCTTAATGCCTTTTTGGCTATGTAGTTGCAGTGTGCTCTAGCACTTAGATCATTAGAGGTGAGTATTCCAAGGTCCTTTACAGAGCTTGGGTCATCAACAAGATCTTGACTATTCAGCTTGTATTTTATTTTCTGATTTTTTTTGCCAATATGTAAGACAGAGCATTTATTTGTTGAGATTTGAAGTTGCCATTTGTTTGACCATTCGGATACATAGTCAAGATCTTTTTGTAGGGTAGCAGTATTGTCTGTGGTATTGAACAGCTTTACATCATCAGCGAAGAGAACGCAATTGCTCTTAATATGATCACAGAGGTCGTTTATGTAGAGTATGAAGAGAGTTGGTCCTAGAACACTGCCTTGGGGGACACCACTATTGACAGGTACTGGATTTGATAGGACGCTCCCGATTTTGACCATTTGTTGTCTGTTTGACAGGAATGCTTCTATCCAGTTATTCAGTTGTCCAGAGATACCATAGGATTTTATTTTTAGGAGTAGTTTGTCGTGTACCACTGAATCAAAGGCTTTACAGAAGTCTATGTAGATTGCGTCTATTGTTTTGCCCTGGTCGAGTTGTGTCGTCCATATGTTTTTGCAGTGTAAGAGTTGCAGATTACAGGATAGTTTTTTCCTGAAACCAAATTGTTTATTGGAGAGTAGGTTATTTGTCTCTAAGTGAAGGATGATGGATTGGTTAATAATTGATTCCATGACTTTACAGGTGACGCAGCATAAGGAGATTGGCCTGTAGTTTTCAACTAGGCTTGGGTCTCCCTTTTTGAAGATGGGGATGACTGTGGCTTGTGACCATAGGTTAGGCAAGGAGCTGGTCCTGAAAGATTTTTCAAAGATTATGCTTAGAGGTTTGGCTATGGCAGTGGATAGCTTTCTTAAGAAGTAGGCACATATTCCATCCGGTCCAATAGATAGAGATGGTTTTAGGTTGCGTATTGCTTTTTCAACATTGTCTTCTGTGAAATCGATATGTATTAGATCATTGTTGTTATCTGTGGTACGGCTAGGAAATATTGGGCATGATCCATTGCTGTTTACAAATACTGAGCCGAAGAATGTGTTAAAGATTTTGGCTTTAATGGTGTCGTCGTTGCAGTCTTTACCATCAGGTCCTATCAAGGGAGGGATGGACCTTGAGTCTTTTAGTTTGTTGTTTACAAAATTGTAAAAAGCGCGGGTGGAATTGGTGCTTAGAAGGTTTTCCTCTTGTTTAATGTGATAATTGGTGCATTCGGTCTTTATCTGGTGGCATAGATTTTTGTATCGGTTTTTGAAATTGGCAATGTGACCAGATTTGTTTTTCCGCCAGAGTGATCTCTTTTTGGATTGAAGTTTCCTTATTGATATGGGTAATCTGCTTTTTTGTTTTGTTTTGGGAGTTGTTGTTGGTACATATAGTTTGATGACTCTTTTGACTTCAAGTAAAAATATGTTATAATGGTCTTCAACGGTATTGCATCCAGTGAATAGAGATTGCCAATCAAGGGATGAGAGATCGTTGTCTATAAGATCATAGTTGCCTTTTTTGAAGTTACAATAGGGGATTACATCATTGTGGTGATTTTTGTGTGGACGTATGTTGAGACAAAAGTCGATCATATTGTGGTCACTACTGGAAAAGGGTTCTTTAGATTGTATTCCGTAGATTAGGTTCAAACTGTTGCAGAAGATGAGATCGAGGCAGTTGTTTAGTCTAGTGTTGTTGGTTACTAGTTGTTCCAGTCCCAGATTTGTAATAGCATTGTAGAAGGTTGTGTGTATGATTTCAGTTGTACAATCATTTAGGGTCCAGTCAATATGAAGTAGATTGAAATCACCAAGAAGGATAAAAGGGTATGGGCAGGATGCAGCCCATGTTAGTAATGTATTTAGCTTGTTTACATGTTCGATGTCATAATCAGGTGCTCTGTAACATAGTAAGAATCGAATTGTGATATTTGAGGATAGTTCACAGATGATGGTTTCAGGAAGGGCAAACTCCTGGGTAACTTGGATATTTTTTAGATGTAAGGATTTTTTATAGAATATAGCAACTCCACCTCCTCGACGATTTTCACGATCTGATCTGTAAACATGATAGTCTCTTACTGTGGTAATGGAGTCGGGGAGAGATGCATTGAGCCATGTTTCACAGACAAATATAATGTCGAAGTTAGCCATATTTAGGAGGAAGAGAAATTCAGGTATTTTATTCACGAGGCTTCTTGCATTGAGTAGTTTGCATTTAAGGCCGGCAGTAGTTGGAATTGAGGTAGTTGGGGGCGTGCGTACCTAGTCTTGGGTGATGGTGGATGGGTTGAGGTAGGGTTGTGGTTGAGGGTAAAAGCTGAGTATTGGGTTGCGTGGTTTACTTTTGATACAGTCAGCATGGTAGTCAATGTACAGGTCCTTCTCTCCATTATCTAGACGGTTTTTGAGTTCGATGCGGAGTGCACGGGAGCGGGCACGTTGCTGTATGGTTAGGTCAGGGCGGCAACGGAGGTTCTTATGGATGGTGTTGGTTTTGGCGAGTGAGTTTATAGTATAAATGAATTTACGTTTGCTTGATTCATTTTTGCAAATGACCCTGCACAAGCGTGGGGCCACAGAGCCATCTCTATTTTTGAGCTCTCGGTCAATGCGGGAAATGTCAAGTATTTCATCAGCGGAGATGGTTGATGCTTGATAATTTCTGATGATGTTTCGGACAGTTGTGATGTCATCATTGACATTGATGTCTTCTAGACCAAATAAGATGGCATTTGGGCGTTTCCGTTCACGCTCAACGGCTTCTCTGATGAGAATTGGGATATCAATATTTGTCTGGGTTGTGTTTATTTGTGGATTGGGTTGTGGATTGGATTGTGGTTGATTGGTAGAGATGTGGTTAGTAGCTATTGGATGTTCAGGTTTTTGCGTTGTGTCCTTTTTTTCAAGGTTGGATATTCTTTCTTTTACGGCGTCCAGGGATGCTACTATGATGTTGAGGGATGTTGTAATGGTTTCGATGGTAGGGGATGTTTCAATGGTTTCAATGGTATCAACTCTTTCAGGCAGATCCAGTTTGGGTCTGCATGATTTGCAGATATGTGGAAACTCATTGGATGATTTTAGGTATTGAATCATCTGCTCAGGTAATCCCAAGCAGTCATGATGAGTGTATTTTTTACACAGAGAACATTTGATGGAGTTTTCATTATCCTTTAGATTTTGTGCGCCACACAACTGTGTGCGCCACAGTTGTGAAATTTTCACAACATTTTCACAGTTGTGAAAATGGTGCGCCACACAACTGTGAAAAATGTCTGCATTATGGGCTCCAATCTGACCCTTTATCTTCATTTTGTTGCGCCGTTCAACCGTCTCAGGTTCTGGGAGACCACTTGGACAAGTCCCTGCATGGGCTTTTGGACAAGCTTTTTGAAATACTTGGTTGGAAACAAACCTTGCAGACTTTTATATATGAATGCGGCCCCTATCAGGGAATAAAACGAGTGCACAACTCACCACTAGAGGAAAAGAGGATTCTTGTATGGACAGTCTAGCGCTTATTCTTTTTTTTTCTACTGCTCTTGAAGGATGGCCGCTCTGCGCTTCCGAGCTTGTCTCTCCAAGAAATCGATTATGCATTCTTTCTGAGACTGCACGTGGAGTTACATTTAGAAGCCAGCGAATGCTGGTAAATGGGCAGAGAGCAAAGGTATTACTATGATTATTTTTATTATCGATTATATCGATTATGATTATGATTCCAGCGTTTGGGCTTTAAAGTGCAATCACGAGCTCCTCCAATAAACTGGTACATTACACGGGGGGGTGGGGGTGGGTGGGATACTTAAGATTGCAAGGTAGAAATTGCATGAAAACTTAAATTGCTCGATTTTTCTCAGGTCAAAGCGACCTTAGTGAGAAGAGGCATTCGAAGAAATCCTGTTCTTCCCAAAAACTCAGGCGCAACCTTTCTTGGTGTGTCTCTTACTCCCGACTTGGAGGGAATTGGATTCCAATCCCCATTATTTTCAGCCGGTGGAGCCACATTAATGCGCTGGCCAGAAATGACGCAGATCGTCATCCAGCACACCGAAGACTTTCCAAACCGGAGAAAAGTAGATGCAAAACTAGATGCAACTACTGTTCTCCAGAAATAGATCATCTGCTTCTTTTGGTGACTGGGACCGCGAAATGCCAAGGCGCAAACCTCTTTTCGTCACGTTGATAAGAAACTTCATGGAGAGGCTAAGTAGCCTCTAGAATAGATGAAAAGCATTTTTACTTTTCTGCGGACGAGCGTTTGGGCAAGTTTAGTATATGGAGAAAAGAGGGAAATGTACGACTCTGGAATTGTGGGTTGAATTTCAGCTTGTATGAGTCCTGGTCACTATGGCCAAATGGTGCTCTATCATTTGGGAACATTTATATTTGTTTCTACATTGAATTATATGTCAAAATGTCTTTATCCCGGGTACAGTGTCAACAGTTTTGGAAAAGTAAGACAGATCCATGTTAAACTAGTTAGAACTAAACAGAGCCTTGGAATATTTTTTTGAAGGGCTAACAGAGTTCATATAACTGCACGGTATGCAGTAATTCTTCCACTATTTACTCCCGTTTTTTCCCCTCCTCTTTCTGGTTTTAAAGTTATATGGAAAGAGATCTGTCCCTATTTATTTGACAAAGAAGCTAACACAAAATTAATAATTTTAATATTTGAGCTGGTAATGATTGATTGGGGATGAAAAAAACACCAGTTTGCCAACCAGCAAAAGAAGGTCAGATATTTCAAATGTCCCTCAAAAGCTTTTATTCTTAAAGTAGGGGGTGAGTAATTATTCTGGGATCACCTTTTGATTTTTATGATCATGTGTATGTATTTTTTTTCCTATACAGCCTCTGTTTTGTAATTATGGAACAAGGAGGTTCCTGCTTTGAGTCAGAACTTGATTTTTGTCCTGAATGTGGTACTGTCCTGCCCCTGCCAGGTATCCAGGATAAGGTGATATGTCCCTGTTGCTCTTTCAACATTGATGTGCAAGGTAAATTCTGTTTTGTGTGTGTGTGTGTGTATTTATTTATTTATTACAGGAAAATTCAAATTCATAGGTACCAAATTCTAAGCATACTTTTCAGTGCTCTTTTATTAAAAGAACTTGGTATTACTTTCTATCTTTCCCATCTGAGTTCACTCATTTAATACTTCCACCATGTATTTCTGTACTTGAAGCAATGAATAGAATCTCAGTTTAATGCACCACTAGGGTGCCTTATTATCCAGTAATGAATATCCATTTAAATTGGAAATTATTCCTTTTATATTTAAATACGGAAACATAGTGTTTATTCTGAGTCCTTAATGTGCTTAATTTTTCAAAACGGCAGAAGAGATTACAGTGTATTGTTTATAACTAGAGTATGTCATTTCATAAAGAACACAACCTTTGAAAATGTTATATATATGTGTGTGTGTGTGTGTGTGTGTGTTATTCAGCTTTGTTCAGGTATTTCCCACATCATTATAGTTGTGCTTTTAAAGTTGTAGCAACATTTCGGCAGAATCTCATCTGCCATCATCAGGCTTCTGTATTGTGTTCGTCGAACACAATACAGACAAACACAATACAGATGCCTGATGATGGCAGATGAGATTCTGCCGAAACGTTGCTACAACTTTAAAAGCACAACTATAATGACATGGCAAAAAATACCCGAACAAAGCTGAATACCATACATGTAAGTACCCGTGAAAACTTGAGAATATATCTATATATCTATATCTATCTATATATCTATCTATCTATCTATCTATCTATATACATATACATACATACATACATACATACATACAGTACATACATATAGTACATACATACATACATACATACACCAAAAGTGGTACCCTTGATTTAGAAAACTAGTTGTCAAGGAAAAGTTGTAATTTAATCCTCTTCCCGACAGGCTAGATTTGTTGGAAACAAAGCTTTAGTGATCATGTGTTCCACTCCAAATTGTGAGAATATAAGGAACATTATTGGAAATATAATTCAGTTTGGTATAGAGGTTAAGGCACCAGGCTAGAAATCGGGAGACTGTGAGTTCTAGTCCTGCTTTAGGCATGATGCCAGTTTGGTAACCTTGGTCCAGTCCTTTTTTCTCAGCCTTAGGAAGAAGACAAAGACAACACACTTCTTGAAATCTTGCCAGGAAAATTGCAGAAACTTGTCTAGGCAATTGCCAGGAGTCAACATTGACTTAAAAGCACAAAAATAAAAAAGAAGAAACTGACACGCTTGAATTAATGAGCATTTTAATAATTCTTCATACATTTTTTTTCTTTGCATAGATTTTGAAAAGAGAGTCATCCATACATCTGTCACATTCAACAAAATAGATTCCTCTTCTTTGACTGCAGAAGAAGGAAAAGAAGTTAAGGGTCCACTGGTGAGTGAATGAGAAGGCTAGCTATTAGTTCCATTAAGCATCATAGGCATGATAGTGTCAATATGCAAATGATGTAAATTATATAATTTGTGACAGTTTTCTTTATTTGCATAAATATGTCACCCTGTGGTGACATGGGAAATAACAGACACTGCTGTGCCTCCATCAAACATTTAAAATAGGCTTTGACTATATTTTCTAGAAACAATTTTAGAAATATTCAGTCAATCTGGAATAGCTGCAAAGAAGGGAAACGAACACAAAAGTATAAATGAATTCCTCTGCAAAGAGTGAGCTTGGCACTTTTACCCTTGAGGAAATATTAACTTTGTTCTTAGATTTTTAAAACTTGTATGCAGGAGGTTACCCTAGATATAAGCTTTTATAAGGGCACCTCTGCAGCAGCCTGTGCTCATAGCCAAAGGACTTACAGGAATAAATCCTCAATTGCACCTTAAGGATTCTGCCTTACCAACATCAGGTTTACTGAACGCTTATTTTGTTCATTTCAATCATTTCAGATTGACAGAAAATGTCCTCGTTGTGGGCATGAGGGCATGGCTTACCATACTCGACAGATGAGATCTGCAGATGAAGGGCAGACAGTTTTCTACACCTGCATCCAATGCAAGTAAGAGCTTGTAAATATATTGCCCCTCTCTATCTGCTTATGATGACAAGTTGTTTTATGTTAGGTCGCATTTGTTTTGTCCCAGCTATATTGTTTGCTTGTTACAGGACTCAACATTAAATGTTAGGATTAGCCCTTAAGACCGTAAACTATTTAGGATTTATATGTTGTACTATTTTTATTCAAGGGTTATCTAAATCTATACAAACCTCCCCAGGAATATGAAACCGTCTTTTCTGGTCCACCAGTAGAAGCTGTGATTGTGGTAGTAAGGCAGAGGTTTTTCTGTGGTAGTCTCAAATCTGATAATAGTCCATGATGGAAATATATCTGAGTTCCAGGAGGACTTTAAAGACATGATTTAATTTACAATTCATTTTACCACATGTAGTCCTCACTTAATGACAGTAAAGCAGTCATAAAGGACAATGACCATGACCCTTAGGGGTGGAAATTCCAGCACTCCTTGTTGCTGTCATTCAGCAAATCACTATGGATTATATAGCAGGGGCTTCAACAGGTTGCCATTTGCAA